GTCAAAGTTTCTAAATACTGCTCTCCAAACTATTTTGTATGTTTTTCATTCTAAAAATAACTTGAAAGAAACAATTTTTAACTGACTAAATTTTTAGCGGTTATCACATTCTTTCGAATCAAAACCTGCACATTTCACTCTTTTAGAAAATTCACAATTCTCTTTCAGAAAACTTTTTATTGATATATGGACGGACATGTTGTATCTAACAATTTCCGTTAATATTTGTCACAACATATTTTTATTTAATTGTGTGTTATGATAAATTATCACATCCCGAGAACTTCAGGCGGACGATCGAGTTCACGTGTGGAAAAAGACTGCATAAGCTATGGATTCGCCCTGTATGGAGAAAGTTGTTGGCAGTTATGAAATGATGCGTAGTGTATTCTTTTGGAGATGGCAATGGTCACTAAAGAAATATTTGCCCGGTTGAAACGAAAAATTTCCAGAAATTTTCAGGTACTCCAGCGGACCCTACCGGATAAAACGATGGCTCTTCTACAAAGGGAGATGCGTATTCGACCCCTAGAGGAGAGCACATTTTCTTTTGGGCGCAGGCCGATAGACATAAAACATATTGTTTAAAATAAAATAAAAATAGAGCTTCTATTTCAAACACGAGTATGCATGCATGTATGTATGTATGTACGTATGTATGTGTGTGCGTTTTTGTATGTGCGCGTTTTGTGTGTGCGTTTTGTGTGTTCGTTTCTTTAAGACTTTTAATCTCTCTACGCCGGTAGATATTAATTTCACTTTTTCACTTCTGTCTATATTTCTGAGATGAGATATTTACACTATTTACATTGTTTGGACTGTTGGTATTGTCATATTCCAACGTATATCACCTGAAGAAAGCCGGAGCGTACAACAGCCGAAACGTCGTGAATATGACAATAAAGATGAGGACAACAGTAAAGGACAACAATGTAAATAGTGTAAATATTAATTTCACTGTTTAGAAAAATGAAAATGTTTATTCAAACATCAGTAATATATTGTTTCCAGTAATAAGAAATACTTTGGAATATATATATATATATATATATATATATATATATATATATATATATATATATATATATATATATATATGTATATAAGATATGGATATACAGTATGAAGAAAATATACGGAAAAAACAAACAAAAATCCTAATATGCAATTCTGCTGTTTTAATGTTAATATAATGTCAACGTCGAACGTTTCGGTCTAGTAGACCATCTTCAGGACATATTCATAAAACATAATTAACATTAGACTATATTTAATTCATGAAAAGACGATGGACATAAGAGTAAGACTAATCAAAACAGACAACTGAAATTTTTCAAGATCAGCGTTCCGTTTCAATATGATTTATGAGGCAGGCATAATATCTCTCTCGCGCACGGTGAATACTAGACCTGGCTTCTTTAATATTTCCCCTTTTCTGGCAAGATTAATGCTCGACAAACATACATATAAGTTTTAGATTAAAATAAAATTCTTTTCATTTTTCATTCAAAATACTATATTTTAGGAATATGTTTTCACAACATCGCCCAGGTGACGCCGACGTGATCATATTGAAACGAAACGCTGATCTTGAAAAATTTCAGTTGTCTGTTTTGATTAGTTTTTTCATGTTGAATTAAATATAGTCTAATTTTTTGTTTGTTTTTTCCGTATATTTTTTTCATATATATATATATATATATATATATATATATATATATATATATATATATATATATATATGCGTGTGTGCGTGTGTCTCACAAAGTTGGATCAATAATTCAGTAGTTTGACACGTACATATTAGTTGAATTTTGATCTGAATTTTTTTTTTTTTTACAGTAAGATTCACCCAGTACAAGCCCCGGGGCAACTCGAGGTAGAGGGTTATGCTGAGGGGTAGTTTATATGAATAGGAGGGGAAGATAACAGTTAACTTTAGTCTTGAACATACTAAGATTGTAGTGATCGAGGAAACATCCTCTTGAGCAGTGGTTCGCGGGAACAAGGCCAGTCAGATTATATTCGTGATCTTTCGCAACCATTTATTCTCTTACATACTAGTACAGTGTTTACTGGTCGTAACAATGAAGTCGGAGATTGGAGATCGAATTTGTGTTGAGGTTGCTTACGTTCATGCTACACTTGAAGCGGACCGCCTGGAGGGATGTGATAAATTGGTGACCTCGGCATGATCTGATTAGGCTGGACAGGATGGCCAAAGATAATACAAGTCAGGCATGTTTCTAGTTTTGTAATTCCCTGTAGCACTTTGCCACTCTGTTAATGAGCAAACTACCTGGGCATTGATGCAACATTGGCTTATATTTTTCCGCCGTTTCACCATGAATTTCATCAACGCCTGCACCTATCGTCCAAACTCAAACAACCTATTCCGTACACTTCGGTAAATACTACGGAAGGTTCATCATTGAACTTTACCAGCAACTTTTTAACACTTTCACCGGACATGTGAACTGAACTTTCGAACTGTAAACTGTGGACTGTGAACTGTAAACACACCAAGTTAACTTACATGGACTCTACTTTTAACATGTAGTTACAGTTATATCATCTCTAGATCTTCTAGTCGGTCAGTATTGCTTCATTTACTTACTTCTGCCTTCATTACTTGATTCATTGTTTCTTTAATCCAAACACATACTTTTGTATGTGATGTAAATAAAATTTGTATCAATTTTAAGTTTGTCGTTTGTTGTCCTCTTGTTGACCTGTCAGATTCACGTCTTTTATTTTTAAAACGTTAGTGGGCCTCCTGTGACTATATCCTTATTTGGGGTGCACAGTCCATATTATACCGCCCCTACTCCAGGGTCTCCGCTACACACTGATGCCATTGTGAAAGGCATGAGTGAACTCCTCCTTGTCTTCGGTCAATCTGCGAAATACTTTTTATGAGCCACTATACTGGTTGATAAGGAAACTACTTCAAAGGAAACTGAATTCTTTTCTATAAAATAAATTTTTTTGTTGAACTTTTAGTGTTGCATCTTCTTTTTCTTTCAATAAGAAGATTAATCTTTTATCATTCACTGCGCAGTGAGAATAATTCCATTTTTGAATATCAGGTTGTTATTTATTTCATTGCCTTGTGTCATACTAAGCTAGTGTTAGTTATAAATTATTAAATTTCAAATATCAATGCTTACGCTACTGTGTGTACTTGCTTATCTAGCACTCCCTTTACTACTCTATGTTGTGAGTTCAATCCTCACCACCATATTTGTGACCTTAATATAATTTTTTGTAAGGTTAGTAGAGAGTGACGCCTGCCATGAAACAACTGTCCTCACAATGTTATTGTGGCCTTGTGCCACACTAAACCTTAATCTAAGTCGATTTTCACCATGAGAACGGTTATCGTAAAAAATTAAACCACAATTTTTTTAAACCTCGAAATTGAAAATATTTTCTTTTAATTTATGGAAAAACTTTTTAAAACTGTCAATTTTTTAAAGAAAAATAAAAACAAAATGATAAAAAAACGTTATTTTCTGTTTTTGTTTTGTGAATTTCAAATATATGCAAGTAGTACTAATAATTAACGTTTTATTTCTTTTTCTGACTTGTCAGCATAAGCCCTTGTTAGTTTAAAATAAAAAGGAATAAAAACTAATCAACCTTGACAATTTCTCTCTTTCCTTTTTTCCTCAAGAGTCGAGACAAAAACATTTCACCTTTATGTGGGAAGTGAAATGTCAGTTACAACCCTCCTACTTACATCACGCACTTACGTATTACACAACAGAAAGGGTAGGAGTGAGCTGAAAGCAATACAATACAAAGGAGAGTGGTAAGTGAGAAGCGAGAGGCAACGAGCGCCGGAACCACGTGACCACCTTTATCAGCAACTGTGTTTATTTCCTCCTACTACGTCTTCGCGGTCATGGATCTTGTAAAGAAATAAAGGGAGGTAAGGATGAGGTGCATTTTAAAGACAAAATAAAGGGAGAGGTAAATGGAAGAAGTAGACTTACTGTGGGAGGGGGAAGACTGCTGATAGAAGGGGAGACGCAGAGAAAACAGTAAATTAAACATGGACGTCGAATGAAACTTAAAGTTACTTTTTTTTTATTATTATGTTTTATACACCTTGAACGAAAGAGGTTGGTACATTTTTAGTTTCTGTCAGTTATATAACTATATCTACCGTCTTTATTGCGATGTTATGTATAATTCCTTTGTTTAAAACGTTAACTGTTCGCAAGTTGAATGTGGATAGACTGCTTTACGAGAACGTTCTAAGAAGAATAATAGACGTTGTTTCGTGGTTTATTTTTTTGTTGTATCTAAATCCGGAGTTAAATAAATTCTTTTTTCGGTAACTTTCGTTGGAGATCTGTATTGTTAGAAGATGCACCCCTACGTGGAACAGTTTCCAAACGAGAAAAGCAAAGAAAAAAAAAACCGACATGTAATATGTATGTACTGTATATAATGAAAGATGGAGACTTGTGAAAATGAATCGCGCGATCGTCGCACCAAACACCTTAGTCAAAACAACTCTACTACAGATACTACCAGGATTTCGTTCCCTACAAGCGACAGCAGTTCCGAAAAAGGCCTCTTCTAGCTCGTCTTCTGCCCAGTGTGTCGTATCGGAAGAAAGTACTTCTCGGAATAATGCAAGTCGAAACAGCAGCAGTTTTGAAGGTGGTTTGAGATGTCGCAATAATAATAAAGGTTGTATTACGTCTTCCAGTTCACCAGGGCAACAGTGTTCAAATCGCTTAACTACTGGTCAGTTAAAAGATACTGAATCTTGCCCCTGCAGTACTAAAGGCGAACAAGACCCCCCTAAAAATCGTGAATCGATTCAAGATGTAGAAAGAAACAATAGACCAGGTCAACATGCTTTACAGGAGCGGTCGACACAACAAAGAAAAATATCTGAATACAACTACTCTCTTTCCAGGGACAATGCTGGTAAAAAAACTTCTAAGGACAATACAATGACAACCAGTAGTTATAATAACGATATGAACAATGAAGACATTACTTCTGCTCCAAAAAGTTCAAATCATCGACACCATAAAATTACTAGCTACCAACAACAACACCATAATCACCACCATCATTCCTCCTCCTCCTCCTCTTATGAACATAAGCAACACTCTACACAACAAAATCAAACTGGACATCGACGACACTTACATCACCATCATCACCACAACCGTCATAAAAACCAGCGGAACCCTGCGCAAATACCTTCTGATTCAGCTGCAACACCAGCTGCATCAAGAAGAAGCCTTCATCGGCACCATCACAATGATGGTGAAACTAATGCTACTGCACGCAACCACTATGAAAATCCTGATTTTAATAGAAATAATGATACCGAAACCAGTACCAATCACTCTCAGAACAAAGATAACTGGACATGTAACACAGTTCCAACTATAACTTCATCCTTATTGGACCGTAACCCTAAGGCACTACTAACTTCTCACCGCCCATCCAAGAAGTCTCTTTATACTTCCTCCCAGCTGATACCGTCTCGAGCATCTTTATCCCCTCCACTCAGTTCCAGTTTATCTGACAGCCCCTCTTTGAGCAAAAGACCTCGAGTGTCAACACCGCTGTCAGAAATGACTGATATCGACAGTGAAACTTCTGTTTGCAGTGAGGCCCACATCCATTCCTTGTTTCCTGAGCTGCTTGTCATGATCTTTTGCTACCTGGATGTACGAGATAAGGGACGAGCTGCTCAGGTATGTGTCCGCTGGCGTGATGCTGCTTATACTCGCACAGTATGGCGGGGTGTTGAGGCAAAAATTCATCTCCGTCGCTCTAACCCATCGCTCTTCCGTAGCCTGGCCAAACGTGGTATCCGGCGAATTCAGATTCTCAGTCTGAAACGAAGTCTTCGAGATGTCGTGGCCGGCATACCTGACCTGGAAAGCTTGAATCTGAGCGGCTGTTATAACATCACTGATGCAGGCCTTGGTCAGGCACTTCTGCATAGACTACTCACAGTTCACGAGCTCAACTTGAGTCTTTGTAAACAGATCACGGATTACAGTCTTAGCAGGATTGCTATTTACTTAAAAAATTTGCGAGTTCTTCACTTGGGTGGTTGTTCAGTTATTACAAATGCAGGATTGTTTGTTATCTCCTATGGACTCGTGAAATTGAAATCGCTTGATTTACGCAGCTGCAGGGATCTGTCGGACCAGGGTATAGCACATTTAGCAGGGCTTGGTGACGAGGTGACACACCAGGGAAATTTGGCACTAGAACATTTATGTTTGCAGGATTGCCAGAAACTCACAGACCAAGCCTTGCGCTACATCAGCATTGGGTTGAAAAACTTGACTAAAGTTAATCTAAGCTTCTGTGGTGGTGTCACAGATGCTGGTCTACAGTATCTTGCCAAAATGCCAAGTCTCCGAAAAATAAACTTAGCTAGCTGTGATCAAGTGACAGATGCTGGCCTGGCACATCTAGCCCGAGGTGGATCGCGGATTACTTCATTAGATGTGAGTTTCTGTGACAAGATTGGGGACTGGGGATTAAGCTGCTTAGCAGGAGGTCTCTTCAACCTCGAATGTCTCAGCCTTAGTGCCTGTAATATTAGTGATAATGGCATCAGTCATATTGTACAAACAATGCATGGACTGACCACTCTCAATATTGGTCAGTGCCACCGAATCACTGATCGTGGTCTGAACTTGATTGCAGACAATCTGAAGAAGCTATCGCGGATGGACCTTTATGGCTGCACACAAATCTCAGCCAAGGGTCTGGAAAGAATTATGCAATTACCAAGTTTGTCCAGTCTCAATTTGGGCCTTTGGCACAAGAGGTGACCAATACATTGGGGGGGAAGAAATTATGCCTTTCTGTGAACTGCAAAAACAGTCATTTGCTAAGTTCTACAGGTGGTAACTATTGGGATGGATTAGGGGTGGGACTTGCTCTTATATTTTTTTTTTTAACCTTTAAAATTTTTTGAGATAAAATTTATTTTATTTCATACCAAAATTTGACTATTTTCTTAAATTCTCATTTATTCAAATTTTTAATGTATTATATTTATTTCTAATGATTTGTTTCAGTGATTCTGTTTGGAATATGTAGAATGAATTAACAAAGTAGCTGAAATTTGATGTCCACATGTTTTCTCTCTCTCTCACACTAATATATATATATATATATATATATATATATATATAGTGGTCAGCAAGACCGGAAGACCAAAAAAGGGTCCACCCTGGCATTTCTTTCAGCCTAAAAGTCTGCTTCCCTGAAATTATATTTTTTTTTACATTTGTTTTTCTTTAATGTCATTTTAAAAAATTGGCTTTTTATTGTACATATCAGTGAAGCTCACCCACCAAATCTCCTCTGAGATGTGATTGACATCCACTCCAATTACAAATAGAGAAAGTTAACTTTTACAAATACCTTCCAGATGAAAGGTATTCTGCTTTAAAACATTTTGTCTACAATTTAAGCATTTGCCACTAGATCATTATATAAGACATTTCCATTTTAATAAGAGGCAGAGATTTTGAACTGCAGTTTGATTTGGTTCAGCAAAAAAAAATAGGTTATTCATAACAAGAAATATCATTTAATACATTTTAAAGTAAATGATTAAAATATCGTGCTGTCTCCTTTTTGCATGCATAAAGTATTATGAAGCAGGAAAATTTCATTAGAAAAGTGTTCTGAACTGCTACGTAATATCAACCCTCTATATTGCAGTCAATGCTGAACAATTTCCTCGCAGATAAAGAGAAGATGGACAATGGAAGTGCTGAGAATACCATGGATGGAGCATGTGATCAACAAGGAAGTTTTAAGGAAAATAGGAACTTAAAAGCCTATTTATACTTTGAATCAGAAAGATAGTTGAGATTTTTGGGACACTTAATGAAAAAAAAAGACGGTTGGTGAATTTGAACCTCACGACATATGAAGGCAGAAGGAAAACAATGAGTTACCTGCGTAAATGGATGGCAGAATAGGGAGCTAAGAGGGGTAGGAGAAAAGAGACATTGTTTAAGAGTTACAAAGGGTAAGAAATTGTAGAGAACCATGAGCGTCCACCTCCTAAATGGACATGGCACCGAAAATATTCTTTAGTTTGTTTTGACGTATAAGTCTCAAGAAGCATTGTCAATTAACATCACAGCAAAAATTGTCAACGATTTAATTGATATGACTTAAGAGAATCAAACAGAATGATAGGACTAGGAACAAAGAGGAATTATGTGGTCTGCTTATCTAATGAAAAACAAATAAAAATACCAGAATTTTCTTTTCTCCCTATTTCATTTTCTGATGAAGGTTTAATGAAAGTGAAACATGTTAAATTTATAATTGCTTCCTATTTGTTCCTTATTCCATATAAGTATTTTACATAACTTAATTATTTTATTAGTGCAGCTTTGTGTAAATGACTGGTGAGTCTTTAACAAATTCCCCCTAATTTTAATCTATGAACCCTTACCTAATATCATCTGTTTTTGGGTGTTTCTTTTCTTTTCTTTTTTTGGTGGGGGTGGGGTCTCTTACTGTTTTATTTTATTTCTTAGCAGATGGCTATATGAGGAGGCGCTGAAAAATTCGTGGCTCAACCAAAAATTGATATTTACTTAAATTTTAGGAATAAGGTCAAGCTGAAAACATTTATGCACTCACTTGTGTGAGATTTTTTTTGTTTTTATTTTGGTAAATTTAATTCATTAGACAAGAAAAGTATGATACCAATGTACATGCTTAAAAGTAGCTCTGTTATTATTTCTTCCCTCTGATCCCCCCACCCCTCATGTCATACCAATTGATGCATTTGTTTTTTTTGTTATTTAGGGAAATAAAGTCAACCATGGGTAAAACTTGGACAAAATAGTTCCTTTTTAAACTGAAAGAATTAGTTTTGTTACAGTGTTGATGTGACACTGCAATTCCTCACATTATGCAACTTGAAAACCATAAAGTGCAGACATAAGCATATCAAATGCAATACACAGCATACAAACAAGATGCACATTTGCATTGTGTAGTAGAAGCCTTTATCAAGAGGGTCATTTCATTTCATATTTATTGTGAATTTATATCACATCACTGACTACTTTTTCACCAACCTGATGACTGATTTGTTTTTAAAAAAAAAAAAAAAAATCATGGATAAAATAGTCAGGATTCTTATTTTACTTCTGTTTAAAAAAAAAAAAATAAATAAAAGATACATTTTTTTTTTAAATATTTTATACCCAATTCATAATTTTTATATTTTCTTTGTATACATACACATTGATATTAAATTGTGATTTTTATTTTTTCATTTTTTTTTTTTTAATAATGCCGTATTCCTTTAGAATGTAGCTATTCATGATTCTCCATTACTTTTCTTTACAATGTGTGAATTGCCCTAACTTGTTGGAAAAGATGGAGTAGTTTTCTATTGCATTCTCTACATTTTTTAATTGAGCAGTAGTCCTTCTTCAAGACTGGCTGCCACCCAACAGTGGGCTCACAAGCATTGGAATATTTGGAGCATTTCCCACTTGATATATGCAGATATCTAGTTTGAAAGTAGACAGTCTCAGCATTTCAGAACTGGTCTTAGAATTTGCCAAGTTAGGATTGTTTGATGTTGCACATGTTTAACCCTTTATTTGGATAGTTGCTTTTTTCTGCCTCTTTTTCCTTGGAAAGTCATTGGAAGCGTGATGAAACCAAGAAATGACAGACAGGTTTAGCTTGATATTTTTTTTCTAAAATGATCTATATCAAGTGAATTTTAGAGTTCTACAACACAAAATACAGTCAAATTAACAGTTGTTGCCTGCTTTTTTGTCCCTGAATAACACTAACAAAAAATGCTCAAGATAATTTTTTTTCTCCTTTTTAGTATAAGTTTTCAAATATTAAAACAATTTAAACTTGCCAGATGTAAGAAAATTGTTCTAAAAACATTCACTTGATTTCTTACATTAAATTGATCATTACCTACTTTTGCATCATATGCATAGTAACAGATAGCATTTTTTAAGTTTCCCTTGTATTTATCAGAAAATCATGACCTCTGTACTTTTGTTCTTTGTTGGTGCAGAATCCATTTTCATCACTGAAAAGCCCCCTAAAAGACATCTAAATATGTTAAATGAAAAATATTTTTTTTTATTTTATTGTATTCTTTTTTTATTTATTTTTTTTATTTTTTCAGGCATTTTAGCTAGACCTAAATCCCTTTTCTTTTCTTTTTCTTTTTTTTTTTTTATTAGAAATGTAAAAGTTTTGTTTCAATTTTCCTCTTAAGTACAAATAATATTAGTTTCATAATTGAACTGAGGATCATTTGGTTTGTGGGGGTGGTCTTGGAACCCACAAATCTTTGCTTGGTTCTATTGTGCAAGCCCACTGTGCACCCAAAGACTCATGAGTCCCATCTGCTCTGCTACTTAACCCATAACTGTTGGGTCAAGAGATGGGTTCATGCTTTTCTCAAGTGCAAATTGAATGCCAGGCTTTGAACTCAGTTTGCAGATTCCATTTTGTGATAAGAATTCTTATTTGGAATATCTTGAAATCTTCATTTTTCTTAAGAATGGAATTGAATAAAATTGCTAATGATTTTCAATTCTTGCCAAGATCTGCTCTAATTTCAATTCAAATCATAAACATGAAGAGTAAATGAAGTTTAAGCTTTAAATTTACTGTTTCTTGAAGCAATATAAAATATATAAAAAAGAAAACTATTTCTTAAATGAAAATCTAAAATAAAATCTAAGAAATCCAATGTGATTCAAACTTACAGACTAGCTACTATATTTCTATCATTACTGACTCTAGCCTGTCTAAGAATAATCGGTAAATTTTTTAAAAATATTAATGACATTGTTATGGGTTTTTAGAAATTTAAATATTGGTTTCATTTTAATTATTTACATAAATATATACTCAAGTATCTGTCTTTCAGCCAAGTTCGAAGTGTGTCAAGGTATTTTAATTTTTTAAATATATCAATTAAAATATAAGATATACACTAGGGGTATAATTTTAGAAATTTAATATTTACAGTTTATTAGATGGGCTAAACCAACTTTGAAAAATTGGACACCATAAAGGTTATTTGTGGTAGTAATCACTGCAGACCCTGCAATGTATACATTATTATTATTATATATACACACACACACACACACACACACACACACACACAGAGAACATTGACGTCAACACTCTGTTTCATGCTAGACACAATCGTCAGGCTGCAAATGTTGGATTTTTCCTCGACTATTAATATAGATGGATCAGTGGTGCATTGTGGGTAATCTATTCTGGCGGTTATTTTTGCAGGAGTGGCTTGTTTATATATTTATTTGTTTAGGTTAATTTATTTTGCTTGTTTTTCATTTTCATTTTGTATTTATTCTTTTTGGTTTTTGATGTTTTATTAATGTTGTAAAAAATTTTGAGCAGGATTTGATTAGGTCACTTATTTAATATTTTGCTTTGGTCTGGGAAGATAATTAAAGCTATTTATTCATCCACTGTTTAAATTGCTTGCCGTAGTCTATTCTGTTATTTTTGCAGGGGGATAGTTTTCAATTTATTTATTTGGATTGATTATTTTTACTTGTTTTGCTTATTCATATTAGTTCTAACAGTTATTTTAGCAGGGACAATTTGTTAATTTGTTCATTTATTTGAATTAATTTTTATTTGTTTTTTTATTTATTTTTTATTTTGTATATTTTTATTTACTCTATTTGGTTTTCAATTTTTGAGTAATCTAGTGATGTTTTCCTTTATATCGCAGTTATAGCTATTTTTATGTCCAATTTTTGGAATGATT